AGGCCAAAATCCCATTGGCTTTTTTTGCCGCCACATCACATTCCTGGCTCATGTTTAACTTCCTGTCCACGCAGACTCCAAGATCTTTTTCACACGTCCTGCTCTCGAGCCGGGCACCATCGTCCCCCATTCTGTATCTTTGCATTTCGTTTTTCCTGCCTAAATTGAGTATCTTGCATTTGTCACTGTTGAACTTCATTTTGTTAGTTTTGGCCCTTCATTTCTCTAATCTGTCAAGATCGTTTTGAGTCCTGCTCCTGTCCTCTGGAGTATTGGCTCTCCCTCCCAATTTGGTGTCGTCTGCAAACTTGATGATCATGCCTTCTAACCCTTCATCTAAGTCATTAATAAAGATGTTGAACAGGACCGGGCCCAGGACGGAACCCTCCTGATGGCACTCCACTTGTCACTTCTTTCCAAGATGAAGAGGAAGCATTGGTGAGCACCCTCTGGGTTTGTCCATTTAACCAGTTACAGATCCACCTCACCGTAGTTTTGTCTAGGGACTAGTTTCCTTGCCAGAAGGTCATGGGGGACCTTGTCGAAGAAGGCCTTCCTGAAATCCAGGTACGCCACATCCACGGCATCATTCCCCGCATGTACCCAGCTTGTAAGTCTATCGAAAAAAGAGATCAGATGAGTCTGGCATGACTTGTTTTTGATAAATCCATGTTGACTCTTAGCGATGACCGCATTTGTTTCTAAGTGTTTGCAGACCACGTCCTTGACCATCTTTTCCAGAATCTTGCCTGGTATCGACATGAGGCTGACTGGACATTGGTCATTGTTTGGGTCATCCTTTTTTCCCTTCTTGAAGATTGGGACCACATTGGCCCTCCTCCAATCTGCTGGAACTTCTCCCGTTCTCCAAGAACTCTCAAAGATGGTTGCCAATGGTTCCGAAATGACTTCCGCTAGTTCCTTCCGTACTCTGGGGTGTAGTTGGTCTGGCCCTGAAAGGGGACTGGAACTTATTTAGAGCGGCCAGGTATTCCTGGACGACTCTTTTCCCAATTTGGGGTTGGATGTCCTCTAATCCCTCACCCACTCCATCTTGGGTGTTCCTTCTCTGGTGTAGAGCCAGCCCTTGACTTCTGCCCCTGAAATGTGAGGGGAACCATACACATTCCATACAACGTTCTTCTCAGTCAGGATTTTCGTAGATTGTATGTTGTGTTTCCTCATCAGCTTCCCTATCAGCTTCCTCAGTTTCCTCATCAGCTTCCCTGAAGGAAATTTACCTCAGGATTCAGGAGCAAAATCTAAGTATCATGGCTGCCTGAGCCCACATTGCCATATAACCCAGTTTGATACAGCTGTGTGGAAGGGGCCGAGGATAAGCCAATTCGAAGCAGGTATTGTGGAGGATCTGCCTGGATATTCCGGGAGGAAGGAAGGAAGGAGGGGCCCGGAGTTGGGGCCTGACAAGGCCTCATCGTGCTCTGGCGTGATTCAGGCCTATGCGAAGAGAACCTGAAGGAAATTTACCTCAGGATTCGGGAGGAAATCTAAGTATCATGGCGGCCTGAGTCCACATATCCATATAACCCAGTTTGATACAGCTGTGTGGAAGGGGCCGAGGATAAGCCAATTCGAAGCAGGTATTGTGGAGGATCTGCCTGGATATTCCAGGAGGAAGGAAGGAAGGAAGGAAGGAAGGAAGGAAGGAAGGAAGGGAGGAAGGGCCCGGAGTTGGGGCCTGACAAGGCCTCATCGTGCTCTGGCGTGATTCAGGCCTATGCGAAGAGAACCTGAAGGAAATTTACCTCAGGATTCGGGAGGAAATCTAGGTATCATGGCGGCCTGAGCCCACATTGCCATATAACCCAGTTTGATACAGCTGTGTGGAAGGGGCCTCAGGATTCGGGAGGAAATCCAGGATGAAACCCAGGACACCGCCATTTCCTCCTTCTAAGTATCATGGCGGCCTCAAACCGCGTTCCTTCTCTTGTGTAGAGCCAGCCCTTGACTTCTGCCCCAGAAATGTGAGAGGAACCATACACATTCCTTCCATAATAAGGTTGCAAAGAACGTTCTTCTCAGTCAGGATTTTCGTCGCCATGGAGAGAAGCTGAGGGCACCTATGAAAAGAGTTGGAGGCCCCTTCTATGCGGCCATATAACCCAGATTATCGAAGCAGATACTCCACATGATCTGCTTTGAACTGGCTTATAGGAGTCTACACTGCCGTATAACTCAGTTCGAAGCAGATCATCTGGATTTTATAATATGGCAGAGTAGAGGGGGCCTGTGAGGCTTCATGGTACTCTGGTGCGTTATTCAGGCCCCATAGAACAAAACCTGAATTTTACCTCAGGATTTTACCTCAAGACGCTTGAAAAGCATGGGGATAAAAGAAAATGCACGCGCTGAAAGGGCCAGATCACTTAGGAAATGTTATATTTCTGGTGTAAAGTAAGAGCAAAATGTCTTTAAAGATTTGGTTGGATGTAACAGTTATTCAGACCTATTAGAAGGAAACCTGATGGAAGGAGGGAGTTCCAGAGGGCTGGAATGAAAATGGATGGAAACCGATATAACCAAATGTGTAATATATTATTGGTGGCAAGCTCTTTCACCTCAGCAGACTGAAAGACCAAACCAAGTTCACAATAATGTCTGTTATAGAACTCCAATATGCTGATGATAATGTACTCTCTGCACATTCAGGAGAAGACCTACAAGCCACTCTAAACATGTGGTCATTCTGTGGCTTTCCAGATATTGATGACCTACAGCTCCCAGAGGCCTCTAGGGTGTGTGTGTGTGTGTGCTGGGAATTGTAGTCCATCAACCGCTTGCCACTCCTGCCTTGGGCTCAGTCCTGTGGGTCATTCTAGATGCAGGTGTTTTGGGGTCCACATTACCATAGCCTCAGTTATTCTGACATCCAGGGAAACCTCAGGCTTGATCTGCTCTTGGAGTGATTTCGTTGTCTCTTGGTGGTCTGTGTATGGCCGCATGCCTGCGTGAAGCACCTCCATTTGTACTCCCTGCAGGTGTGCCTGAGTCCGAACTTGGCCTGCAGAGTCTCCAGACACACGGAGAGAAGACAACCCAGTGAACTCCTCCTCTGTGGAAGAAGGTGCCAGAAAGATGCCCCCGGGACAGGTTAGCCAAGTCCCTTCCTTCCTTCTGTCGTTTCCTTCCTTCTCCTTCTTTCCCTTCCTTCTTTTCTTCTTTATTTCTCTCCTTACCCCTCCTTCCTTCCTTCCTTCCTTCCTTCCTTCCTTCCTTCCTTCCTTCTCCTTCCTTCCTTCCTTCTTCCCTTCCTTCCTTCTTCCCTTCCTTCCTTCCTTTTCTCTCCTCCCTCCTCCTCTCCTTCCTTCTTTCCCTCCCTTCCCTTTCCTTCTTTCCTTTCCTTCCTTCCTTCCTTCCTTCCTTCCTTCTTCCTTCCTCCTTTCCTTCCTTCCTTCCCTCTTTCCTTCTTCTTTTCCCTTTCTCTCCTCCTCCCCTTCTTCCTCTTTCCTTCCTTCTTTTCTTCTTTATTTCTCTCCTCCCCTCCCTCCTTCCTTCCTTCCTTCCCTTCCTTCTTCCTTCCTTCCTTCTTCTTTCCCTTCCTTCCCTTCTTCTCTTCCTTCCTCCTTCCTTCCCCTCTCCTTCTTTCTTTCTTTCTTTCTTTCTTTCTTTCTTTCTTTCTTCCTTTCCACCTGCCTTCCTTCTTTTTTCCTTCTTCCTTCTTCCCTTCCTCTTTCCTTTTATTTCTCTCCTCTCCCTCCTTTCTTTCCTCCCTCCCCTCCTTCCTTCTTGTCCTTTTCTTCCTTTCCTTCCTTCCTTCCTTCTTCCTTCCTTCCTTCCTCCTTCCTTCCTTTCTTCCTCTCTCCCTCCTCTTCCTTCCTTCCTTCCTTCTTCCCCTCCTTCCTTCCTTCCCTCCTTCCTTCCTTCCTCCTTCCTTCTTCCTTCCTTCCTTCCTCCTCCTTCTTCCTTCTTCTCTTCCTTCCTTTCCTTCCTTCCCCCCTCCGTCCCTTCCTTCTTTCTTCTTTCGTTCTCTTTCTTTCCTTCTTTCCTTTCTTTCCTTTCTTTATTTCGTTCTTTTTTTCTTTCTTTCGGATAGGGCCCTTGGGAGGGGTCTTCAACTGGGACCACCAACCGTTCCTCCCAAGGGCAGAATGACTGGACTCCTGGGTTTGGGGCTGGGCTGGAAAGACCCCTTTGGAGGAAGGAGGCCCCGACTGGGAGAACTGGTGTCTTCAGCTCCACGGAAGGCAGTCGTTGCTAAGGATTTCATTTGTGGTTGCCTTACCTAAACATCAAGGATGGGAAGAGTCTCTTTCAGTGAAGGGTCTTCACTGTATGGACTGCAAATCCCATCCTCGGCCTGAGAGTTCTGCCAATGTGTAATGCAGATGGGGAAGACCTATGGGGAAGAGCATCCCCTTGCCAAGTGAAATCTCCTTTCCCGTATGCAATCTAGCTCATCAGGAATCCAGACTGAACTCTGGTCTTTTCCCTCGTGTACTCCTCTTCAAAAGGAAATGGGAAAAGGGCCAAACATGTCCCGCTCTCGTCTGCCTTCTGGAGCAATCCGGCCACTCTTTGGGAGGCACCAACGTTCCCCTCCAGTTTGGAGAAGCCGTTCCCTGAGTGGCACCTATTTTCTGTTGCAGGTGACCTTGAACTTCAAAGATGTGGCCATCTACTTCACAGAGGAGGAATGGAGGTTGCTGGGCAAGAAGCAGAGGGCCTTGTATGAGGAGGTCATGATGGAGACCTATGAGAATGTGGCCTTCCTGCGTAAGGACCTCCAAAACATTCCCTTTCCTCAGGAGAGTCAGGGCCCTTTCAATTCCTCAACCTTGAATGTCCTCTTCAGCTCAGGTCCTTGTTTTCCAGGAACATCAAGGGGTTCCCCTTAGCAACAGTGAGCAATTCCCAACCAGTCGTTCTCTGGGTCTGGAAGGTGCCTCTGGGAAGGCCCACAAGAGTCCAGAAAGCGAAGCCTTCCCAGGCAGCCCTGGGCTCTCAGGTCTACTCGTGTGTCCTTCAGAGTAATCACAACCCGTTAACACTGGTCTTGTGGTTTTGTCTAAATGCATGCCCATGTTTGTGGATGGGTATACTCTGGTAGAGAGGCAGAAATGGGACCCTGAGAGGAGAGTGTCCCCGCTTGTCATCCCAAGAGCAAGGTCACACCTGGCCCAAGGCTATCAGCCCAGTTGCCCTCTCCTCACCCCCTCAACCGACCACCACCTCATTGGCCTGCAAACCCATCCTTCCCGCTTCCCGTTTTGACTAGCCTATTGGGTGGCCTGATTCTTCTGCAGCTTTGCTGTAGTCCCTCACCCCTCCGTCCTCTGCACGCCTGACTACTCTCCACTTCTTCCTCCATTCCCATTTCCCCATCAGCACTCCAAAAGGTTCTTCTTCCCTGAATGTTTGGATTCACACTTTTCTATCCTTATCCTTCTTTATAGGAGATAACTGGTGGGCCACAAAAGCAAGCATGAAGGGCAGCCGCCATCTTAGGCGCAAGTTGCATCTTGCCGGACATCTCCAAACCCACAAGTGTCAGCACTGTGGGAAATGCTTTGCTCAGAAGGCAAACTTTGAGTGTCACCTGAGAGTCCACACAGGAGAGAAACCCTACAAATGCCAGCACTGTGGGAAAGGCTTTGCTCATAAGGGAGACCTTAAGTGTCACCTGAGAGTCCACACAGGAGAGAAGCCCTTCAAATGCCAGCACTGTGGGAAAGGCTTTGCTCAGAAGGCAAACTTTGAGCGTCACCTGAGAGTCCACACAGGAGAGAAACCCTTCAAATGCCAACACTGTGGGAAAGGCTTTGCTCAGAAGAGAGACCTTAAGTGTCACCTGAGAGTCCACACAGGACAGAAGCCCTTCAAATGCCCGCACTGTGGGAAAGGCTTTGCTCAGAAGGCAAACTTTGAGCGTCACATGAGAGCCCACACAGGAGAGAAACCCTTCAAATGCCAGCACTGTGGGAAAGGCTTTGCTCATAAGGGAGACCTTAAGTGTCACCTGAGAGTCCACACAGGAGAGAAGCCCTTCAAATGCCAGCACTGTGGGAAAGGCTTTGCTCAGAAGGCAAACTTTGAGCGTCACCTGAGAGTCCACACAGGAGAGAAACCCTTCAAATGCCAGCACTGTGGGAAATGCTTTGCTTGGAAGCCAGACCTTGAGATTCATCTGAGAGTCCACACAGGAGAGAAACCCTACAAATGCCAACACTGTGGGAAATGCTTTGCTCAGAAGCCAAACCTGAAGTGTCACGTGAGAGTCCACACAGGAGAGAAGCCCTACAAATGCCAGCACTGTGCGAAAAGCTTCACTTGGAAGGCAAGCCTGGAGCAGCACCTGAGAGTCCACACAGGAGAGAAACCCTACAAATGCCAGCACTGTGGAAAATGCTTTGCTTGGAAGCCAGACCTGAAGTGTCACGTGAGCATCCACACAGGAGAGAAACTCTACAAATGCCAGCACTGTGCGAAAAGTTTCGCTTGGAAGCCAGGCCTGAAGCAGCACCTGAGAGTCCATACAGGAGAGAAACCCTTCAAATGCCAGCACTGTGGGAAAGGCTTTGCTCAGAAGAGAGACCTTAAGTGTCACATGAGAGCCCACACAGGAGAGAAACCCTTCAAATGCCAGCACTGTGGGAAAGGCTTTGCTCATAAGGGAGACCTTAAGTGTCACCTGAGAGTCCACACAGGAGAGAAGCCCTTCAAATGCCAGCACTGTGGGAAAGGCTTTGCTCAGAAGGCAAACTTTGAGCGTCACCTGAGAGTCCACACAGGAGAGAAGCCCTTCAAATGCCAGCACTGTGGGAAAGGCTTTGCTCAGAAGGCAAACTTTGAGCGTCACCTGAGAGCCCACACAGGAGAGAAACCCTTCAAATGCCAGCACTGTGGGAAAGGCTTTGCTCATAAGGGAGACCTTAAGTGTCACCTGAGAGTCCACACAGGAGAGAAGCCCTTCAAATGCCAGCACTGTGGGAAAGGCTTTGCTCAGAAGGCAAACTTTGAGCGTCACCTGAGAGTCCACACAGGAGAGAAACCCTACAAATGCCAGCACTGTGGGAAAGGCTTTGCTGGAAAGGGAGACCTTAAGTGTCACCTGAGAGTCCACACAGGAGAGAAACCCTTCAAATGCCAGCACTGTGGGAAATGCTTTGCTTGGAAGCCAGACCTTGAGATTCATCTGAGAGTCCACACAGGAGAGAAACCCTACAAATGCCAGCACTGTGGTAAAGGCTTTGCTAAGAAGGGATACCTTGAGTGTCACCTGAGAGTCCACACAGGAGAGAAACCCTACAAATGCCAGCACTGTGGTAAAGGCTTTGCTCGTAAGGGAAACCTTAAGTGTCACCTGAGAGTCCACACAGGAGAGAAACCCTTCAAATGCCAGCACTGTGGGAAAGGCTTTGCTCATAAGGGAGACCTTAAGTGTCACCTGAGAGTCCACACAGGAGAGAAAGCCTATGAATGCCGGCACTGTGGGAAATGCTTTGCTCATAAGGGAGTCCTTGTGTGTCACCTGAGAGTCCACACAGGAGAGAAACCCTTCAAATGCCAGCACTGTGCGAAAAGCTTCGCTTGGAAGCCAGGCCTGAAGCGGCACCTGAGAGTCCACACAGGAGAGAAACCCTTCAAATGCCAACACTGTGGGAAAGGCTTTGCTCAGAAGGCAAACTTTGAGCGTCACCTGAGAGTCCACACAAGAGAGAAACCTACGAATGCCAGCCCTGTAGGAAAGGCTCTGCTGGAAAGGCCGACCTGAAGCGTCACCTGAGATTCCACACAGCAGGGAAACCCTACGAATGCCAGCACTGTGGGAAAGGCTTTGCTGGGAAGGGGATTATGTCTTTCACTGAATGTTGAGATGTTCCTTGTGGAGAGCGGGATTATGTGGTGCCTGTGCACTTTTGGTGACCTCATTGGAGGCAGGAACACACAGAGGGTTTCCTCTCTTTCTCAGCCTTTTAGAATTTAATATACAGTGCTTTTATGAGACTGTTCCCCACTCTCCTTATGCTGGTCTTGATTTGATTTTACTTCATTGGGAAGTCACCTCAAACTGGGGGAACACTTATCACAGATGCCGTTGGTGAGCACCCTATGGAGCCATGGGAAATTGTTGCTTCTGTTTGATGTTTTGCCTTATGTCTGTTATAACAGGCTGCGTTTTTATTTAATTTTAGTTGTTAAGTCATAATTCATGTTTATATGTTGGGTTGTTACATTTTGTTAGCATGGATGTATTGTTGTATTCGGGCATTGAACGTTTGCCTTTTATGTTTGAAACCTGCCCTGAGTCCCTCCAGGAATATAGGGCAGAATATAAATAAATTTTATTATTATCTTATCTTATCTTATCTTATTTTTTATTACTAGCTTGGGGACCCGGCACTGCCCGGTTATTTGAGAAAGGAATTGTGTATCAAGGTTGGTCTTTATCAGTTATTTATATGGCTCACAGTGGTCTCAGGAAGTTAGTGAAGGTACTGCGAGTCCCATCATCTGTGGTCCATCCTCCTCCAAACTGCACCAGGATGGAGAGTTGGTCATGGGAGCTCTGTGTGGCAAGGTTGGTCTTGATTGGTCATTAGATGAGTGGTGCAGAAGACTTGGGAAGGGAGTGGAGGTACGTGAAGTCCCATCATCCATAGTCTGTACTCCCCCAACACAGAGCCTCCATGACCCACTCTACATCCTGGTGCACTTTTGAGTTGGCGATGGGGTTCTCTGTGCCAAGTTTGGTCTTTATTGGTATTTGGATGAGTGTTGCTGTGGTTTCAGGAAGTGAGTGAAGGTACTGCAAGTCCCATTATCCATCATCCGTCCACCTTCAAGCAGCACCGGGATGTAGGTGGGTCATGGGGGCTGTGTGTGCCAAGTTTGGTCTTGATCGGTCATTAGATGAGGGTTGCAGCAATCTTGGGAAGGGAGTGGCAGATTAGGAATCTCCCACTACCAAATCCCAGAAGCACTTTAGTACCAAATCACCGCACACTGCACACCGCACTTATATCATAATCCCACACCCCTCCGATACATCAGCACTTTTAACCTTGTACCCCTACTCCGGCCGACTCAGTTTTTAATAATGTCTTGTCGTATTGCTATTGTTATTGTTTTTCTGCTTAACTGTTTTTATTTGCTAGATATTGTATTGTTGTATTGTGTTGGGCTTCGGCCTATTGTGAGCCGCATAGAATCCTTCGGGAAATGCTAGCGGGGTACAAATAAAGTTATTAAGATTATTATTATTATTATTATTATTATTATTATTATTATTATTATTACCATACTCTGTTCTCCCCCAAACCTCACCAGAATATTGAGTTGGCCATAGGGACTCTCTGTGCCAAGTTTGGTCTTTATTGGTATTTGGATGAGTGTCACTGTGGTTTCAGGAAGTGCCATCATCCATAGGACTTGCAGTACCTTCACTCACTTGGTGGATCACTTCGTGGAAGACCTTTGCAGAGAGCTAGAGAGGGGGAGTTTGTCCCCGTTGGTTCTTTTGCATCTCTCAGCGGCTTTCGATACCATTGACCATGGTGTCCTTCCGGGTCGTCTCGCTGGGAATGGACTTGAAGGCATGGCTTTACAGTGACTGTTCTTTCCTGGAGGGCCATACCCAGAAGGTGGTGCTGGGGGACTCCCGTTCGAACCCCTGGCTGTTGACCTGTGGGGTTCCTCAGGGTTCCGTTTTGTCCCTATGCAGATTAACATATACATGAAACCGCTTGGAGAGGCCACCCAGTATTGCAATGCTTTTAGTTGTGAGCTGCTTTAAGTGTCCGCATGGAGAGAAAAAGCGGAATATAAATAAATCTAATAATAATGTTCCAGAATTATGATTTTTGACACCTCCACCCCCACCCCACCCACCCCACTCCCCGTTTCTCACCCCAATCTCCTGCTCCTGGCCCACCATACCTTTGAATCACGGCCCCCTTCCAGGGCTGAATGTGACCCAAGAATCAGCCCCCGCCTCCTTTCCTCCAGGAATTCGCCAAGGGTGCTGAACTGACTCCTGCCTGTCCTAATCCCTTCAGATCAGTAGTTCTCGACCTCCCTAATGCCGCGACTCCTTAACAGAGTTCCCCATGTTGTGATGATCCCCAAACATAAAGTTATTTTCATTGCTACTTCATAACTGTAATTTTGTGCCTGTTAATATCTGATCTCCCGGATGTATTTTCATTTACTGGACCAAATTTAGCACAAATACCCGATATGCCCAAATTTGAATACTGGTGGGGTTGCGGGGGGGGGGGGGGGGATTGATTTCATCATTTGGGATTTGTAGTTGCTGCGATTTATAGTTCACCTACAATCAAAGAGCATTCTGGACTCAACCAACAATGGAATTGAACCAATCTTGGCACACAGAACTCCCACGACCAACAGAAAATACTGGAAGGATTGGTGGGCATTGACCTTGAGTTTTGGAGTTGTAGTTCACCTACATCCAAAGAGCACTGTGGACTCAAACAATGATGGATCTGGACCAAACTTGTCAACAGACCTAACATGCCAACTTTGAATATTAGCAAGGTTTGGGGAGGATTGACCCACAACTTTGGGAATTGTAGTTCACCCACATCTTTATGCATTTTCTATTGGGAGCATTAATTAAAAAATAAGGAAATACTGAGTTTTTTCCCTAATAAATAGCATTACATTTACCTAAGCTGCTGGTCCTCCTCCTCCTGATGCTGCTGGGCCACTCTCAGTCCCATGTCGAGTGGGCACTTTCCCCCCTGCCTTGAAGGGACTTGCAAGCCTTCCCTCCAGCCTCGCACGCTCTCCCTTGCACGCTGCCATGTGCTGAACATGCCTGCTCTCAGAGGCGGCCCTAGGTAATTTTCAATGGTAAGCAAACAGTATTTTGCCCCCCCCCCCCCAACCAATCATTGATATATATTTTCTGTTTGTGTGGGAGTTCTGTGTGCCATATTTGGTTCAATTCCATCATTGGTGGAGTTCAGAATGCTCTTTGATTGTAAGTGAACTATACATCCCAGTAATAGTTCACTTTGCCGCATTTGCTCCCTTGCCTGGCCTGCTTTGGATCCGGAGGCGTGCCTGAAGACCCCGGCGTGTGCACCAAAAGTCACCTCCTCAGCCATTGGGACCGAGAGAGAGAGAGAGAGAGAGGTGGAGATGCCCACCTTTCCTGAAGGTAGGCGCAAAAACAAAGGAGGGAGCGGAGGTGGGAGATACCTCCAGCCGGGGGCTCTCTCTCTCTCTCTCTCTCTCTCTCTCTTGGTCCCAATGGCTGAAGAGAAAGTCAGGAGAAGAGGTGACTTTTGGTGCGCACGCTGGGGTCTTCAGACACGCCTCCGGACCCAAAGCGGGCCAGGCGCGGCGGCTCCGCCCCTTGGCCCACCCATGGATTGGGGAGAGGAGAGGCGGGTGGAGCGCTGGGGGATCGGGAAAGGGAGCCGGGCATGGGGAAGGGATAGAACGCGGAGAACCATTGAGCGCCGGCTCTGCTTGCGCACCCGGTGGCCGAGTGGAGCAGGAACGAGAGGGGCTAGGCGAGGCTCAAGGGCCCGGCCCCTTTGGGAAGAGGATCGCCCGGCAGCGAGGCAAGAAAGCCGAGGCTCCCGCCGGACTGCTAGGGCTGTTGTGAGCTGAGGGGGCGCTCCTCAAGTGGCGGTCGAGGGGCATTTACAGAGGCGCCTCTGCGCCCCTGGCAAAAAAAGTGTTCTGCGACCGCTTACTTCGCGTAATGGACGAGCCGCCCCTGCCTGCTCTCCCCTCCCTGCTTGGAGCCTCAGAAACAGCCCTCGACTGAGAGGCCGGCCAATCACAGTGGAGGAGAGCTTTTGTTGGGAGGATTCCTTCCCAAAAAAGGAAGAGGAGGACAGATGGAGAGATCTTCCGCCTTCTCCGCCAAAAGGCGCTTCTAAGACCATCAGGAATATGTGTTTTCTGATGGTCTTTGGCACCCTCTAACATGCCCATTTGACCCCTCCGGGGATCGCGACCCCCAGATTGAGAAACGGTGATGTAATACATATGTCCTTAGGGACTTGAATGCATTCAGATTAGTCAGATATTCTTTTATTGCCCCTTTACCTGTTTTTGTGCTGCGTTTCCTTTATTGCCTCCTTTGCTCCTGGACATTTTAATTCATTTAGATTGGCCAGGTATTCCTGTGCTGACCCCTTACCTCTTCTGTGCTGCGTTCCCCTTACTTATTTCTCAGCTGCATGTTGCTCAAACCCCAACCAGAAGGAATAAGTAGGGGGGGGGGGGAGCTCCATCTTGAAAATGATATTTCAGGCCACATGGACCTGGTTTAGGTGTCTGTAAAGGCCAAGGTGAGCTATGGGATGTACCTGGGGATGGCTGCATGCAAACCAACCTGGAGCCATTTCCTTGCTGTGGGAAACCAGGCTTTCTTTCCTTCCAGCTTTAGTCCCAGATGACCTTTTTGCAAATTGTCTGCCTGCCTGGAAGTAACTGGAGCGTGAAACTGCAATCGAACCAAGGGCAGGAGGACGATGGAGATGAGGAACATGCCAGAAGGTGCCAAGCTGATGTTACAAGACTGGGCTGGGTTTAGATAGATGGATGGATGGAGAGATCAACACCCTGAGATTTAAACATGGTGGGACTGCATTGGTTTTGACCCTGACCCAAATTGGAGCTCTTTCAGCAGGGAAGTGCTCTGGCTTCAGAGTTGAGCACCTGGACTCCAAAGACAATCATGTCCTCTGCTCTCATGTCCTCTGAGAGGAGTCAGCAGCAAATTCGACAGTAGAACACATGATGTTCTGGGAGATGTCTACTGCTCCAGTGGCCGTGAGAGGAGTGTCCATTCAGTTACCAGCAGATCTGGAACCCATGCCTTTTGGGACCAGTGGTGTTTATATTTTCTGGAGCAGCTTTGGAGGCATCCTGGAGAAGGCCTGGCTCTATTCCAAAGCAGTGGCCATCAAGATCATTGGGCTGGCTTTGGATGGATGGATGGATGGATGGATGGATGGATGGAGAGATCAACACCCTGAGATTTAAACATGGTGGGACTACATTGGTTTTGACCCTGACCCAAATTGCACCTCTTTCAGCAGGGAAGTGCTCTGGCTTCAGAGTTGAGCACCTGGACTCCAAAGACAATCATGTCCTCTGCTCTCATGTCCTCTGAGAGGAGTCAGCAGCAAATTCGACAGTAGAACACATGATGTTCTGGGAGATGTCTACTGCTCCAGTGGCCGTGAGAGGAGTGTCCATTCAGTTACCAGCAGATCTGGAACCCATGCCTTTTGGGACCAGTGGTGTTTATATTTTCTGGAGCAGCTTTGGAGGCATCCTGGAGAAGG